TTACTATTACACTCATTCATAACGCAGCAAACAATATTCATAATTCTCTTAAAATGAATTTAAATGAAAATTAATATATCGTTCAGGCTGATTTTGCTGAAAATCATGTCTTTGTGGTTCAAGATAAAGTACAGGGGTTTCACTGGAATAAATCTCAGGTTACCATTCATCCTTTTGTAATTTATTACGTCACTTAATAATTTAAATCAATTAAGTTTCGTAATAATATCTGAATCTCTCGTTCATAATACAAATGCCGCTTATTAATTCCAAAAATATTTAGTTCGCTACTTAAAAGAGAAATTCCCATGCTGACCAAAAAAATTCTTCTACATTTCAGATGGAGCAGCAGTAAAATATAAAATTCACAAAAATTTAATCAATCTGGGCCACCATGAATATGATTTCGGTATCGGGATAAAAGCCGAAAGGCATTTCTCGCCACATATTATGGCAAATCACCTTGTACGGGGTTGGAGATACAGTCAAACATTTAGTGGCCAGGGCTCGTTTACAAAGACCTGTTTCAGAACAAATAACTTGTCCTAAAGAGTTTTTGTTATTGTAAGGAAAATATTAAAGGCAAAAGATTTATAATTTATTAATTAAGGAATAGATTTCTCCTATATTATGGAAGACGAATATGAGAAAGAGCTAATAACTTTAGAAAAGAGATTTAATATATATGTACAATACCAGGAAAGCAAAAATTTCATATTTTTTATCAAATTTCTCAGGATAAAATTAAAGCAAAATTTTATTCAAACTCAACAGAATCGAAAATATTAAATATAATATTTCATTCGAATTTATTATATGAAAAATAAATGGATATGTAACATATATGATAATCAATGGTGGATGGTCTATGTTTTAGAAAAAAAATCAAGTAGTGTTAGTGCATCCTCAAGGACCCTCAAATTCTAATACATATCCCTACCTGATTCCTGATTGACAAATTGTAGATATATAATCATAAATTTTAGATACATAATCATAAATTTTAGATAGTCCTTCAACTGCATATACTTTACATAAGGATGAGACAATTAAAAATATTCATCTTTTTAATTTATTTTCTTAAAATATATAATTATTAATATCTAACTAAATTTTGTATCAAATATATTATAAATTATAGAATGAATATGATTATCTATCTATATTTCTATATTCTTAATAAAAATGAATAATAAAAAAATATTTATTATTGGAAATTTGTTACATTATTAAGTGTCTAGTGGGCATTTGCCCACACTGCCCCCCAGTTTAATTAGTATATTTAATAGAAATTCAAATTTTTTTAGTATGAAAAGTGAAAATATTCTATTATTAGTAAGTTATCATCAAAATTTTAATATAATCCGTAATTCTAGTGTTGTTAAACGGCTCGTTTGATTTTTAAAAACGGCTAACTCAATATTTTATCCAGAGGAATATTACGCAAGCCCGAAGATTCTGCTCATAGAAGGAACAAAGGTCTGGCCATATATTAACCAAATCTCGAGGCTTAGACAATATTTTTCTGGCTAAAATATTGAGTTAGTTGTTTTAAAAAATCGGCTCAAAACGAGCCGTTTAACAACACTACGTAATTCCATAAAGCGTTATCTATTTTTTCTTCAATTTTTGGTAAAAATGTATATTTCGGAAGAGTCGATATCGTCGCCAAGGTTTTGATATCATATATATATTTATAAAGGTTGTCTAAAAAAGCAAAAAAAAAATTCCAAAACAATTTACCTTTTTTGCTTAAAAATACAGGCAAAGCAATATAGGTAAACAGGAAGTTAAAGATTCAAATTGGCGCCAATTTTTATTTTTCTTTGATAGCCCTTTAGATATATTTTTACTTACAATATGTTATATATAATTTTACTACAAATAATTTTTGAGATATAAGCATTTTAAAAATTTTATAGATTCCAAAGTGGCTCTTTTTTTTACCTATGAGCTACTAAATCTCGAGAACCAGCAAGCTAAAAAAGGCTTTCTCATTTCCTTACCTATCTAATCCAGAAATTTCTAACAATTTTAACAGGTGTGGGCCGAATCGTGATTGATTTGACGTGAAGTGGCCCTATCATGGAAAGAGATCTCGGATTTGGACTTATTAAGAATGATTCTTTTAAAATTGACTTCAAGAAATTAACCATTATTTTAGGAAGAACATCACAGATTGTTCCATCATCAAGATGCCAAATATTTACATCCAAATCAAATTTAGATTTAAGATAATGAATACCAAGGTAAAATAAACGAGGATGTTTTCTCCCTGCTGGATCATTTTGCAGAATCCATGACATGTGGGCTGAATAAAGGAGTTTCAATTTACAGTATGTCTCTAGGAATTTTGAATAAACAGGAAATTTGAACAATTTATGAAATGTTCACTAATAAAACATTTTTAAAGTCTACTTTGATAATAGCTATGTTAGGAGGAGGATTTTGGATATAAAATGGCATGTGAAGCTATTTTGCCTTCTCCCTTAACACCAAATCCCAAGTGATACATATACTAAATAAGTTTAAACCCATGGCAATTATTTTTGCCAATAATCTTCTAAATAGCCCATTGCAATGAGGCAGGGATTCAAACCAAACCTCGAGAAGAAAACCCGAGTGTTTGGAAAAAAAATCTGAACCCAAATCGAACCTTGAACTCAGTTAATAAAATTTTCGAAACCCCAAACAGAACCCAGGAATTTTATTTGAACCCGGGTTCAACTGGGTGTATTGTTTAAAATCATGATATTTGTATAATTGTAAAAAAATATTAATAATTTAATTGAGATTTTATAATATTTCCAAATTTCCAATTAGAAGTGTTAATAAATTTCAAACAACTTAATTCATTTAGGCCATTTTTAAATTTATTCACAAAGATTCCTATTGGAGGGTTAATAAATTTAAAACAATTAATTTCATTTATGCCAAATTTTTTAATTTTTAACTTATTCTCAAAGAAGATTATTAAAAGAGGAAAATGAAAGTGAACAAGTCAAAGTAAAAATTATTATATTGGATATTGTTAATTAAAAGAAATACATCTAAATAAAATTTCTAAAATTGATACATGACTATGCTTTGTATTTTTAACTATATTTTGCCAATAAATAAAATAAAAAATTAATTTTTTATACCAAATCTATGTCTAGTTGTTCAATTATGATTAAAATATAGATTTTTTTTATCAATTCAAAAATTAAGCCCAAGCTGAACCTGGAACTAAACCAGTGTTTAAAAATATTTCCCTGAACCAAACCCGAACCTACCTATTTTTTTAACCTTAAACCAAACCCGAACCAAATCCTGGCAAAAATTTTGCCAGGTTCACATCCCGGAATGAGGTGGATATCACCATAGTGTTTATGAGATTATCTGGGTTGTCCCATAATTGATTTAAATCTATGATGGCAGGTCTAGGAAGGTTTTAAAAGCATTTAAATGATTCTTTGAGATTAATGTAGATTTTAAAGTGAGAGAGCAAAAACCATTGGGTCTGGATGTGGAAAATTCCTTAAAATAATTTATTATAACTTACAAATCATATTTTTTTACTCCATATTTCCCATAATATATTTGGTTTTTCCTCTATAAATTTATAAAATCTTGGATGGATGAATATGGATAATCCATTCCTTTCATTTGACTTTTCTGATTCATCCATCATCAAATGAAGGTAAAATTTATTATATATCCATACAGAGAAAATTCTGATTTCCCATCATTCTTGATGAACTATCAGCTAATAAGCTAATCTAATTTAAATATAATTAATCTTTTTTTAACTTTGATAAATAGTCAAATATTTTGGAAATTATTAGAGCTTATTTGATTTGTGTAATATATTGTTATAAACAATTGATATATCCAGAAAAATGGTTAAACAATATTTCCCATATTAAACTTGCCTATATCAGTAAAGGGGAGGAGTGAGAGTTTTAAAATGTTAAATTACCACAAAACTGATAATCAAGATTATATATCTTAAACTTGACTAATGTATCAGGACACCCAATTGGGAAATAACAGATGCTAAAATTAAAACAATTATTTTATTAATTAAAAAATTAAATTTTAATTTTGTTTAAAATTTTAAGGATTTTTTTTAGAGAATTAATCATTTATTTTCCAACTTACTAATTGACTAGTTAAATTTTTTTAAACAATTTGCACAAATAGATTTTTTAAATTTTTTCAAACAAATCACAAATTTTGTCAAATCTACTTTTTATTATAAACATAAAAATCAAGGGAGCAGCTAAGAAACCATGATCCCTTTTTTAAATTAAAAACTCAATTAGGGAATCAAGAGCTAACTTCTTTTGAATAAGTAGGAGTCAGCTCCTTTAAAAGAAGTTAAACTGTCTGGAAGAAAACAACTCTATAGAGAAAGTTATTAATAAAATATGCAGCCATTTTTATTACAAAACTTTGTTTACCTATTAAATTTATTAATAAACCAAATGGACTAAAATGCATTTTATCATCTTATACAATCTAATTAAATTATTTTAATAATTTTTTAGAATTAATATTTAAAATTGCCTATGAATGAATCTTAGTACCAACAAAATATAGAATAAATTTTATTACATGACAAAAATAATTTTGAGATTTTTGGTATCCTTTCATTTTAAAAATATTAATTGATTATCAGTTTATTATTACTTTTAGGATTAATGCAACATATAATATCATTTAAAATAATAAAATAAATTATGTGCAAAATAAATGCAAATTTAATTATTTATTATAAATAGTAAATACAAATAATGAATGCATTATTTAATATTGTTTTGAAAAAGTCTAACAATTTTTAATGCATATTGAACCAATATGCATGATAGTATTAATATTTAATTATAAAATATAGATTCTTGGTGCATTTTTTTTCAAGATACATATAAAATTTGATTTAATCAGGCTTTTAAATTATTTTGTTTATATTTAAATTAAATTTACTTTAAATGAATATTTTAACATAAAGTGATTACCATGATACCATATTGTTGATGAATTAATTTGTTGTGAACCAATTCAGGCCCTCTAATATCAATATTTTTCCTCATCATCTTAGGTGATTTTTGATTGCTTACAAACAATGGTACCTTTTCTACAGGAGCTAATTTTTCATTTGGAGGGTATACAAGATCTTTATACTTTAATAATTATTAATTTTATTCAAAAATATACTTTCAAAAATTTGGGTTGGAAATAACTTCCTAAAATAGGCAGTTTCAAATTTAACGTAACTTATATACTCTATAATTTAAATTTAAATTGATATATATTTTATAAAATTACTTAAAAAATTATTTGCGTAATTATAGCTCATTGCGTTGATTTGTGGGTGATAAAAAATGTTAAAAAAGGAAATAAGCTAAAATGGCTGTCAAAATGGCCCCTATAAGTTTGAAGCGAGAGATTTAAAAATATTAAATAATTTAACTTCTGTCTAATCTGTAAATTATTTAATATTAAATTAATTTGATATAAAAAAAATTTGGTTATTGCTTAAGTCGAGGAGTATATTTTTTTTTGTTATTTTTTTTGTTATTTTTTTTGTTATTTTTTTTGTTATTTTTTTTGTTATTTTTTTTATGTTATTTTTTTTATGTTTTTTTTAAATGTTATTTTAAATTAATATAGTATTATTTGGTGATAATTTTTTTTGTGATAAATTTTTAAAATATTGTTGCATATTTTTATTATTTAGTGATAATTTTTTTTGTAATAAATTTTTAAAATAATGTAGCATATTTTTATTATTTGGTGATAAATTTTTAAATTAATATGTATTTTTTCTTTTAAGATATTTTAAAATATTTTTTTCTTTTTTAAAAATATTTCTTAATTCCTAGGGAGGGGAGGTAGGTAAAAGAATTGTGTCTACATATTTTTTTAAAAAATTGATTTTTTAAAGAAATAATTCGTAGTTCCGATTATTATTAGATTATGTATATATATAATATGATTCCTTCCATACTAACTTAATATTATTTCCGTTTTAAAATGAATATTTTTACACTAGGTATGTTTACTAATACTGTTGAAACAACTTATCAATTTTGCCTTAATAATCAATTTATCCCTATAGGAATAGAGCATACTTGTTGCAATTCCATAATGCGGGTAGAAAAAAATAAGAATAGTTTGCAATATCGATGCAATAGATGTCGTAGATCATATTCGATATGGAAAGGTAATATTAATTTTATATCATAAATGACAAATTTTTAGATTCTATTTTTGAAGGGATTCAGGACGTTGGGAAATTTTTAAGACTAGTATAACTGTATATAAGTAGTAATTATTTAAAAAATATTAAAGAACAAAATTATTTTCAGGCCGTTATAAAATTTTAAGTGCTTCGAAGGAATTGGATTATCATAGGAATGCAATTTCTGGATGGTAATTTAAAGTAAAATATGGTTTTTATATTTAATTTATATAGGTTTAAAAAATTTCGCAAGGTATGTGGGTTCCATATAGCTTCGAATCATACAAAGATCGGGGGGCCTGGCAGAGTTATCGAAATAGACGAAACTCATGTGTGGAAGCGTAAATATAATCGCGTGGCCGGCATTTGATTTCCGAGGCTATATGGATCATCGGTGGCATATGTCGCGAGACGGATGAAATATTTCTAAGTGCAACAACGAGGGATCAAGATACCACACTGCGTGTGGTTAAAGATAATGTTATGCTAGATTCCACGATAATGACTGACTCATGGTTAGGGTATGTAAATATATTTTTCTGTAAATCAAAAGTAGTAATATATTTAAATCTATTTATCTTAGATATAATCGGTTGGATCAAACAAATTATTTCCATTATAGGGTCAATCATTCCCGAAACTTCGTTGACCCAAATGATAGATCCATTCACACCCAAAAAGTCGAAAGACTATGGCGGGATCTTAAGGAAAACTATAAAAGACATGGGAATCGAGAGAATATTCATGAATATTTACTTGAATATAGATATTTTAGAAAACATAAATTATTAAATGGCTTTGATCTTTTTATTCTATTTATAAATGACTGTATACATTTTAATACAATTTTTCAATTTAATGAATAAAATTGACTCGTTTATTACTATATATGATATTTTTATTTTGTATAAAATTGACTCGTTTATTACTATATTTCGATATTTTTATTTTGTATAAATTTCAATAATATATTTCAATTTATTTCGAATTAACCCTTCCCAACAAAGGTTCAAAAAATCACTTAGAATTTAAAGATGGGGTCTATTTTACCCCTAATAAATACAAAATTTAAGATTTTATGCTAATTTTCCTAAAATTGTTTAGATTATCAGACTATATTTCAATTTAATGAATAAAATTGACTCATCACAATTCTTCTACCCTCCTCCCCTCCCTAGGAATTAAGAAATATTTTTAAAAAAGAAAAAAATATTTTAAAATATCTTAAAAGAAAAAATACATATTAATTTAAAAATTTATCACCAAATAATAAAAATATGCTACATTATTTTAAAAATTTATCACAAAAAAAAATTATCACTAAATAATAAAAATATGCAACAATATTTTAAAAATTTATCACAAAAAAAATTATCACCAAATAATACTATATTAATTTAAAATAACATTTAAAAAAAACATAAAAAAAATAACATAAAAAAAATAACATAAAAAAAATAACATAAAAAAAATAACATAAAAAAAATAACATAAAAAAAATAACATAAAAAAAATAACAAAAAAAAAAAATAAAAAAAAAAATAATATACCCCTCGACTTAAGCAACAACCAAAAATTTTATTAATATAAATATTAGAAAATATATAATATAATATTAAACATTTATAAAAAATAATATAATATTAAAAAATATATATTTATATATATTTATAAATTTTAGTAAATACATAATTCTAATACATAGTATAACATAACTTTAAATTTTAATATAATATTTAAAGTAATTTATATTTTTAATATTAAATTAGATATAAAGAAAAATATGTAAATTATTAATATAAATTTTTGTAAATATAAAATTTTAAGATTTTATTATAATATAATAATTAATATTATTTACATAATTAATATTATTTACATAATTAATTTATAATAAAATAATGATTAGAATTTATTCAATATGATGATATTAAAACAAATTTTTCTTCTGCATTAAACTTTGTGTTGATATTGATCTGAATTTTTGCTGGTAGCAATTTGGATCTTTAATACATTTAATATATATATACATATATAAATATTTTATCAACCAGTACACTCTTTAGATATACTTAATACATTATATTTGATATCCCTTTCCCCTAGCAATGCTTCTGAGCATACATAATAAGTAGTTGATTCATTATAATATTTATGTATACGGAAATTTGGTGGAATTGGCATCTACCATTATATATAATTTATATAGCCTTTTTTGAATAAAACGTACCTTTTATTTTTGAATTCTAAAGTAAAGTTACTTTTACTGTAATTTGGTTTAATTGAAAATGAAGAGCTGCAATAAAATAAGATATTTAAACATAAAGTAAATATACTTTTACTGTAATTTGTCTAAATTGAAAATAAATAGCTGCAATATGATATTTATAAAAGCTTATAAATTGAGCAATAAAGAGCTGCAATATAATAAGATATTTAAACATAAAGTAAATATACTTATACTGTAATTTAAAATGGAAAATAAATAGCTGCAATATAAGATATTTAAGCATAAAATAAATATTACATTTACTGTAATTTAGCTTAATTGATAATAAAGAGCTGTAATATAATATTTATAAAGGCTTGCAAATTGAACAATAAAGAGCTGCAATATAATAAGATATTTAAAATATAAACCTGGCCTTATTTTAATTTGTTGGCTTCAAGTTCTCAATGTAGATTATAATGGTAGGCAAAATTGATCCCTTAAGTATTAATATGCTTTTGGAGAATAAAAATGAACAGTGGAGGCAAACTGTTTCATTTCTTGGGTAAATTTTATTCTCCGTGTATTTTTTATGACTCCACTGTGTAATTGTGTTTTGATAAAAGATAAAGGGATGCCTGTAAAAAAAATTTCCAATACATCCTCCCCTTCACCACATATTAAATTTTTATTCTTCAATTGTTTCATAATTTACTTTAAATCGATAATCTTCTCATTTTTTATAGTTTCCCTCTTATAAGAGGCCCTCAATTTTTTTCTTAATTTTAAATATATTTAACTTGATATTTGATCTTTCTTGATAAAAATGATAAATTGGCTGTACATATATGATCATTGTGATATTTGGCTATTGTTTGTGAAGCATATTTTCTCTTAATTAAAATATAGAAAAATAATAAATCACACAAGAGATTTAATAAATAGGGCTTACATGACTAGCTGGTTTCTCCAAATCTACAACTTCAAGATTATTTAAAGTGTCAATTGTTTTTGAAACCTTCTTATAAAAATATTTTTTACAATATAAATATTGTAATAAATATTAAAATATAGATAAATAATAAATTACACAAGCATTTAAATAAATAGGGCTTACATGAATAGCTGGCTCCTCCAAATTTCCAACTTCAAGAATATTTAAAGTGTCAATTATTTTTGAAACCTTCTTATAAAAATATTTTTTATAATATAAATATTGTAATAAATATTAAAATATAGAAAAATAATAAATCACACAAGAATTTTAATAAATAGGGCCTACATGAGTAGCTGGTTCCTTTAAATCCATAATTTCAATATTATTTAAAGTGTCAATTGTTTTTGAAACATATTTTCTTTAAAAAAAATTTTTTTTATAATATAAATATTGTAATAAATATTAAATTAAAGAAAAATAATAAATCACACAAGCATTTTAATAAATATGGCTTACATGACTAGCTGGATCCTCCAAGTCTACAACTTCAAGAATATTTAGAGTGTCAATTGTTTTTGGAAAATATTTTCTCTAAAAAAAATATTTTTTTAAAATAAAAAAGGTTATTATTGTTTTTTGAAGTAATATTATTTAACCTTTCTGGTCTGTTGAAAACTGTACGAAGTAGTAAGAAGGCACTTTTTAATCTTTTGGATTTTCTTAGAATCAAATACGAAATCTTTTTTAACACTCTTTTATTTTTCTTTATTATATATATTTTTCACGATTTTTCAACAAAAAATAATCAATAATAAACGCCGATTTTTACAAAATTTTATATATATTTCTCTTTAATATTATTTTTTTATCAATTATTTTTTATATAATAAATAAATATTTATTATAATACAACATGTACCCCTTTTTCAAGGTACTATATGCCACATTTAACCATAACTATAATTTAAGAATATTTTTTTTTTAAAGATTCTTTTGATTCAAAACTTCGCATCATTGAAATTCTCTTGATATCGACATTGAGCGAAACTTCATATTGTTGATAGATTGTTTTGGTTGTTATCACAAATTATCCTGGTTAATGAGTCATAGCTTGATTTTTTCTTTGCATCATTGGTCAGTCATGATCATTCTATTTTAAGCTTGGTATCTTTATCCAGCATTGTTGATTATCAATAAATTTTAATGGTCAATATATCATAGATCTATTGCATCATTGTAATTTATTGAGTTGATTTGATTACACAGAATATTACACAAAGTAAGTAAGTCAAATTTTTTTTTTTAATCGCTTTATCATTTTTTTTTACATAATGAACCCTTACACCAAACAATTACCTTATTATTTTCATTTTATTATTTTTTATTCTCTTTCTTTTTTTTTACATAATGAACTATTACACAAAACAACAACCTTATTATTTTCATTTTATTTTTTTTTATTCTCTTTCTTTTTTTTTACATAATGAACTATTACACAAAACAACAACATTATTATTTTCATTTTATTATTCCTCTATTCTCTTACCCTTATATTTCCCTTGATTTCTCTATTGCACTACCAGTTGCTTTTCCACAATTTACGTTTCTTCTCTTCTCAATACCGCTCACATTTTATAAATTTTTACTTCTTAATTCTTTAATAATTAATCACTTTTTTAAAACCAACAATTTTAACAAACTTATTACAATCCGAACTCAGATAAATATTTTATCTTCCCATCCTTTTTATCATAAATAATCAAAAAAATAAAACACGTTAAACTTCAATACAACTAATACCATAATCAATTGACCCACATTTTTTACTTCATGATTTTATTACTATAACATTTTTTGAAAAAATAAAACAACTGCACGTGTGCATCTATTTTTTACAATTTTCTCATTAACAATAACATTAATCCAATTCTACAATTCCCTCAGATAATTAGTGTTTATATTCCTCATATACATATTCTTAAATTTTTGTTTTAATTCTTTCCTTCCTTTTTTTTTAAACTACATTTTCATACCCTTTTTTTTATTTTGACCCCTGACCCCCTTTATTATCCTCCACTCTCTTTTAAACAAATATCAACCTTATAATCTATGAAACAACCCAATTTTTCATCAAATAAATTTTTATACTTATTCCTTAAATCAATCATATCATTCCTTAGTAGAACCAAATTCTCTTCTCCTTCTTCTACCACACTTTCATTTTTTAATTTTTTTTTTACAAATTTCACCGGAAAATTTTTCGATACAGGTAATTTTTCCATCTCCAAATTTGAGTCTTTGTAAATCTCATCACATTTTATATAATTATTCACCATCCTCGATTTCCCTGAAATTTTTTTATTTTCTATTTCCAAATAAAAATTTTCATCATCAATTCCCAAAATACTTTCCACTTTCAGATCAACCGAAATATTTTCAATTTCCAAATCACTATTTTTTTTAATTTCCGAATTTTCCAAAATATTATCAACTTCCAAATCAACCGAAATATTTTCAATTTCCAAATCAATATTTTTTTTAATTTCCATATCAGGCTCAGGTATTAAACTTATATCAATTTTATTATCCAAAATATCAAGTTTTTCCTGACCCATTTTATCACTTATAATTTTTTCATTTTTCTGAACTTCCTCAGAATTATTTAATAATTTTTTAATAAATCTCTTTATTTCCTACATTCACTTTTACTCTTGGACATTGATCAAAATTTTTATTATCTTCCAACTTAAAGATAGGTAAATTACTAATATGTATATTCTTTCGTGTTTCATTTTCCAACATATTTTTATAAATCCCGTAAGTGTTATTATTTCCTTCATTTTTTCTTTCTATTTCAATATGATCATTTATCTTATTTTATATATATTTTCTTTCAATAGATCCAACTCATTTTTTGATGTAACTCTTCCAAATGTTTTTATTTCACTATCATACAGTCATTCTACTGTACAATCCTTCGCATAATGCCCAATATTTCGACATTTATAACAAGTTATATCCTCTCTATTAATTCTTTTAACTATATTTTTCTGCTCATTTCCTACGTATTCCACCGCTGGAAACGCTTTGCAAACACCTTGTTCATTTTTATAACATTTATCCTTAGTATGTCCTAAATTCCCACAATTTTCACAAGATATCTCATTTTTTTGGTTTCCATTCACCAATTTGTAGGCTGGAACGTAACATTCTTCCGCATTATGACCCTTATTTCCACATCTTCTACATATTTTCGGTATAACTCCTGTATTTACCTTGGCATTACATTCTCTGCTTAAATGCCCAACTTTTCCATAATTATAACATTCTTTTTGACTTTTATAATTTTGTTCTATTCTTTTATTTACAATTTTCTCCTCCAACTCCTTTATTTTTATTTTAATTTCTGCCATTTCTATTTTCTGTATTTCCTCTTCTTTTTTCTTTAATTCAATCTTTTCATTTCTTCTCTTTCCTTTATGGCTATTTCTTCTATTTTCTTCCTTACCGCTTCCCATTCTATTTTCATTTCTTATTTCAATTTCTCAATTTTAATTTCTTCTATTCTTTCAATTTCCCTTTCATATTCTTTTTTCTTATTCCTATTTCTTTTTTTTCTTGTTCTATTCTTTTAATTTCTGTCATTTCCATTTTCAACTTTTCAAATTCTATATCTTTTTTTTCTTGTTCTATTCTTTTAATTTCTTCATTTTCTTTTCTTTTTTTTTATTTTCAATTTCAATTTCCTTTTTTTTTGTTCTATTTTTTCAATTTCATCATTTTCTTTTTTTTTTATTTTCAATTTCCATTTCTTTATTTTCCTGTTCAATTAGTTTTAAATACCTTTCTATTCGCTTCTTTATTTCTAAAATTGTAAATAAAAGAATAGAACAAAATTATAAAAGTCAAAAAGAATGTTATAATTGTGGAAAAGTTGGGCATTTAAGCAGAGAATGTAATGCCAAGGTAAATACAGGAGTTATACCGAAAATATGTAAAAGATGTGGAAATAAGGGTCATAATGCGGAAGAATGTTACGTTCCAGCCTACAAATTGGTGAATGGGAACCAAAAAAATGAGATATCTTGTGAAAATTGTGGGAATTTAGGACATAATAAGGATAAATGTTATAAAAATGAACAAGGTGTTTGCAAAGCGTTTCCAGCGGTGGAATACGTAGGAAATGAGCAGAAAAATATAGTTAAAAGAATTAATAGAGAGGATATAACTTGTTATAAATGTCGAAATATTGGGCATTATGCGAAGGATTGTACAGTAGAATGACTGTATGATAGTGAAATAAAAACATTTGGAAGAGTTACATCAAAAAATGAGTTGGATCTATTGAAAGAAAATATATATAAAAATAAGATAAATGATCATATTGAAATAGAAAGAAAAAATGAAGGAAATAATAACACTTATGGGATTTATAAAAATATGTTGGAAAATGAAACACGAAAGAATATACATATTAGTAATTTACCTATCTTTAAGTTGGAAGATAATAAAAATTTTGATCAATGTCCAAGAGTAAAAGTGAATGTAGGAAATAAAGAGATTTTGATGTTATTGAATACAGGGGCAACAATATCTGTGATGGGGTATATTGAATTTTACAAGTTATGGCCGAATGAACACATAATTAAAGATAAGATGAGAATAAGACAGTTAAATGGTTCAGAAATTATGGCATTGGGAAAAGTAAATTTACCGGTATTAATAAATAACGAATTAATAAATTTGGATTTGTGGGTATTAGAAGAAAAAATTGATACAGTTTTGGGATGGAATTGGATATCAAAATTTGGTTTAGAAAATATTTTGTTGAATATATTTCAGGGGAAAAATGAAAATAAAAATATTGAAGTATTAAAAAAATCTGTGAAAGAGGTGGATGTTAAAAACTCGGGTAATAAGTTAATGAAAGAAATTGTAGAGAATAATAAAATTGAGAGTATGATAAATAATAATCAAAAAATTTTGGATAATAAAGAAAATGAATTTGTGGAAAGTAAAATACTAAAAGATGATTAAATTAAAAATATATTTAATAATTCTGAGGAAGTTCAGAAAAATGAAAAAATTATAAGTGATAAAATAGGTCAGGAAAAACTTGATATTTTGGATAATAAAATTGATATAAGTTTAATACCTGAGCCTGATATGGAAATTAAAAAAAATATTGATTTGGAAATTGAAAATATTTCGGTTGATTTGGAAGTTGATAATATTTTGGAAAATTCGGAAATTAAAAAAAATAGTGATTTGGAAATTGGAAATAGTCGGTTGATCTGAAAGTGGAAAGTATTTTGGGAATTGATGATGAAAATTTTTATTTGGAAATAGAAAATAAAAAAATTTCAGGGAAATCGAGGATGGTGAATAATTATATAAAATGTGATGAGATTTACAAAGACTCAAATTTGGAGATGGAAAAATTACCTGTATCGAAAAATTTTCCGGTGAAATTTGTAAAAAAAAAATTAAAAAATGAAAGTGTGGTAGAAGAAGGAGAAGAGAATTTGGTTCTACTAAGGAATGATATGATTGATTTAAGGAATAAGTATAAAAATTTATTTGATGAAAAATTGGGTTGTTTCATAGATTATAAGGTTGATATTTGTTTAAAAGAGAGTGGAGGATAATAAAGGGGGTCAGGGGTCAAAATAAAAAAAAGGGTATGAAAATGTAGTTTAAAAAAAAAGGAAGGAAAGAATTAAAACAAAAATTTAAGAATATGTATATGAGGAATATAAACACTAATTATCTGAGGGAATTGTAGAATTGGATTAATGTTATTGTTAATGAGAAATTTGTAAAAAATAGATGCACACGTGCAGTTGTTTTATTTTTTCAAAAAATGTTATAGTAATAAAATCATGAAGTAAAATATGTGGGTCAATTGATTGTGGTATTAGTTGTATTGAAGTTTAACGTGTTTTATTTTTTTGATTATTTATGATAAAAAGGATGGGAAGATAAAATATTTATCTGAGTTCGGATTGTAATAAGTTTGTTAAAATTGTTGGTTTTAAAAAAGTGATTAATTATTAAAGAATTAAGAAGTAAAAATTTATAAAATGTGAGCGGTATTGAGAAGAGAAGAAACGTAAATTGTGGAAAAGCAACTGGTAGTGCAATAGAGAAATCATGAGAAATATAAGGGTAAGAGAATAAAGGAATAATAAAATGAAAATAATAATGTTGTTGTTTTGTGTAATAGTTCATTATGTAAAAAAAAAGAAAGAGAATAAAAAAAATAAAATGAAAATAATAAGGTTGTTGTTTTGTGTAATAGTTCATTATGTAAAAAAAAAGAAAGAGAATAAAAAATAATAAAATGAAAATAATAAGGTTATTGTTAAAAAAAATGATAAAGCGATTAAAAAAAAAATTTGACTTACTTACTTTGTGTAATATTCTATGTAATCAAATCAACTCAATAAATTACAATGATGCAATAGATCTATGATATATTGACCATTAAAATTTATTGATAATCAACAATGATAAAGATACCAAGCTTAAAATAGAATGATCATGACTGACCAATGATGCAAAGAATAAATCAAGCTATGACTCATTAACCAGGATAATTTGTGATAACAACCAAAACAATCTATCAACAATATGAGTTTCGCTCAATGTCGATATCAAGAGAATTTCAATGATGCGAAGTTTTGAATCAAAAGAATCTTAAAAAAAAAATATTCTTAAAAAATCTTAATAAAACAATATTTTATTTATTTTTGAGCATATCTCCTCTTCCGGTTTTTATATTTTCTGGATTTTCTTATTCCCTGAGCCTCTACTAATGCCCGATCATAGTTATCGAAATTGACTATTCTTTCCTACGATGATTTTCTCCAACAATTTCTTATATAAGGTCGTAGATAATGTCCTCTCCATTCACGGAAAATATCGTCCCTTTTCAATTCTCCCAAAAAAAGAAGACATCTTGTCCAATTAAAATGTCGATTTCTAAAATATAATAATCTACACTCTTCAAAGATTATATAATATTATACCAACATATTCGTAATAATCAATTATCGCTCTTCCAACTACTTATCAACATTCGCGGAAAGCACAATTTTCGAGCAATAAAAAAAAACAATATTTTATTTATTTTTGAGCATATCTCCTCTTCCGGTTTTTATATTTTCTGGATTTTCTTATTCCCTGAGCCTCTACTAATGCCCGATCATAGTTATCGAAATTGACTATTCTTTCCTACGATGATTTTCTCCAACAATTTCTTATATAAGGTCGTAGATAATGTCCTCTCCATTCACGGAAAATATCGTCCCTTTTCAATTCTCCCAAAAAAAGAAGACATCTTGTCCAATTAAAATGTCGATTTCTAAAATATAATAATCTACACTCTTCAAAGATGATATAATATTATGCCAACATATTCGAAATAATCAATTATCGCTCTTCCAACTACTTATCAACATTCGCGGAAAGCACAATTTTCGAGCAATAAAAAAAAACAATATTTTATTTATTTTTGAGCATATCTCCTCTTCCGGTTTTTATATTTTCTGGATTTTCTTATTCCCTGAGCCTCTACTAATGCCCGGTCATAGTTATCGAAATTGACTATTCTTTCCTACGATGATTTTCTCCAACAATTTCTTATATAAGGTCGTAGATAATGTTCTCTCCATTCACGGAAAATATCGTCCCTTTTCAATTCTCCCAAAAAAAAAGACATCTTGTCCAATTAAAATGTCGATTTCTAAAATATAATAATCTACACTCTTCAAAGATGATATAATATTATGCCAACATATTCGAAATAATCAATTATCGCTCTTCCAACTACATATCAACATTCGCTGAAAGCACTATCGAGGGAGGCTTGTCCTATCAAAACTTTCTTTTTCAAATAGTAGAAGCGCTTAACTTCTTTTGTGTAACGAATAGTTCTAAGACAACCTTAAGATTTCCCTATTTTGCGGCCGTAGAAAAATTTCCTTAAGTTTGAATTCTTTTTACATCACCACACCCTAAAGATTTCCCCGACAAAGTTTAATTATTTTTTTTTGCATTTCTTGGTTTACCAGTATTTTCGATTATTTTTTTTTTTATTTGCCAATGCATCTAATTTATTATTATTTTAAATTTACCAACCCTCCTAATTTCGATTGTTCATAATCTTTCTTTTTTCTTTCAATTTTTGATTTTTTCTTTCCCCCTTTTTTCTTGTTTATACCCCCCCCCCCCCCCCTTTTTTTTTGTTCGTAATAATACTTTTTGTACCTAGTCTTATTTTATAAATATTATTGTTTATTTATTATTATTTTTTTCAAATTTACCAACCCCTCTAATCTCGATAATACTTCTGAAAGGATAGATCAGGTATTCCTCTCTTCCCAATTTTGATTTTTTTTTCCCCATTGCATCTTTTTTTTTTTTTCTTCCAATCAAAATTATATCCGTTAATATATATTTTTTTTTTGTGTTTTCTCCCTTTCAAAGCCATCTCATGGTTAACTCTTGTTGTCAA